GTTTTTGAACGCATAAAGGTGGTTTAAACTTTCTAATTGCTATCTAGGGATTCCACAAACTTTAGGATACGCCCCAAACACGTTTTATAGATAGGTTTAAAAGATGTGTTAACGTCAATTTTATGTCCTGTCTCTATAATATGTTTCGCAATAGAGGAGCTAGGTCTCCTGTTCTCACCATTAATGGGTTCTGAAGATTCCATTTGTTTCTGGAGCCATTTAGGAATATGCTCTGAAGCCCTTACTTGCAGAGATCGATGAGTCCTCCCTATGTATGTGTGTCCACACGTACATTCAAATTGGTAAATACAGTGGGATGTGACATCATTTTTCGCATGTTCGAAGGGCTTAGATAGATATATTGGCTTCACATTCTCAATTATTATGATATTAGCTGCATAAAGTCTTTTTAACAGCAGCGTTCAGTCTTTGTCTAGTTATCAAGCTGCTATGATGCCCCATATAGGGTAGCTTGATGTACACGTCTTTCTTAGGGGCGAGTTGTAGAGTGGGTCTTGGTGTTCTGACTACTTTATATCTCCTGATGAACTTGTCTGGATAATTGTTATCAACCAGAGTTTGTGTCAACTTTCTTTCTTCTTCATCAAGTGTGTCTTCAGTGCATATTCGTTGGATTCTACTGAAGAGGCACCTTACTAAGGCTCTTTTGTACCGAACAGGGCAGAAACTGTGGTAATTAAGATACTGTCCTGTCCAGGTAGGTTTTCTATAAATAGATCTTTTTATTGACCCATCAAGCCGTCGACTAAGCAATATGTCTAGGAAAGATAAACAATTATCTTCCTCTTCTACAGATGTAAGTGATATGCTATTCTGAACTTCATTCATTCGATTTAAAATTGAGGTGGCAGAACAAGACTTATCACTTATGATTACAATATCATCTACATACCTTCTATAAAGTGGCACATTTTCGATTAAATCCTCCGATAAATTCTCAATGTACGACATATAAATATCTGCTAAAAGGGGCTCTAACGGACTTCCCATAGCAACACTAACAACTTGGCGGAAACAATCGCCTTCAAATGTAAACCTAACGTTGTTAGTACATAGAAGTAATAAATCCCTTAAATAAGATATAGGGGACGGGATAAAAAAATTGTTTGTAGGAATGTAATCACACAAAATGTCAGCTGTTTTGAGCAAATACATTACACGATTCAGACAAATTACGTCTTCTTATTACTTTATCTAAATTCATAAAGGGAACTGTTTTAAAAATATTTCTTATGTTTTAGACACAATACTGATTGATTCCTTTCATCCATTGGATTGATTTTTTTTTGTGTGTGTGTATGTGTGTGTAAGAAGGGTTGAATCTTCTATTCACTTGAGTAAACATATTTCAACTTCAACGACTTTGAAAATGCCCATCGACAGAGTTGACCGAGAAGTAATGTACGAAACCTCTTCCACAGTACGCAGCGCTTAAAAACTTATTCACAACCTCACTCAACGGATATGTGTTGATGCCACAACAGAAAGGTCAGAGAAGCCCTTGAAGTGGAGACAGGTGTATGGCAGGACTACCTACTATCACCGATGGCATTCCTGATTGTGGTGGATTGGATCATGCGGGTGGCCAAGAGGAGAGAGACAACAAATATATGCTGGCCAGACAAGAAGACTCTAGAAAGTCTAGATTTAGTGGATAATTTAGGTCTCATGTCGCGAAAAATGGAAGATATACAGACGAAAACCAGCAAGTTGTCAGAAGAAGTTGAGAAGACAGGACTCCAAGTGAACATAGAGAAGACAGAGATGATGAAGATAACTAACCAACAACATGCGTCGACCACCTTCAATGAAAGAAATTTAAAGGAAGTCACCACTTTCACTTATTTAGGAAGCATTACCAGTAAGGATTGGAAAAGCTAGACAGACCTTCACTATTTTCAAGTATTGGTTTTATAGGGATTTTTGTTTGATTGCATGGAGGATTTCATCATGAGCTGACATCAGTTAGAGAACCACTGAAAAACCTGGGAGCACTGGACAGCTGTTTCGTCCTAGTTTGGGTTCTAGTGGGAAACCGTGACCAGTAGGGTACAGCAGGTTGAAGATGAGGCAGTAACTCATCGAACAAGACATTGCGAAATGGTTGCGCTATGTCGTGAATTGGCAGAAGTTAGAATTCATGGGTTGGTCAATGGATCGGGTCCCAGTGGCTCAAAGGTCTACGAAGTCGCCTTGTAATCAGAAGGTCCTGGATTCGAGCCCCGGTGGGTGCGTACTGATGAAGTCCCAAACTAGGACGAAACAGATATCCAGTACTCCCTGATGTCAGCTCATGATTAAATTCTCCATGCAATTAGCCCTTCACTACTCTAACAGCAGTGTACAGAACTGCCGTAGACAGTATAAGAAACAAAATTAGGATTTTCAACAGCAATGTGAAGTCAGTCAGTTCTTCTATATGGGTCGCAGACTTGGCGCGCCATGAAAAGCATTTCTGACTTTAAACTTTTATCAACAGCAGCTTTCGCTGGCTCCATACTGAAGATCAGATGACTAGTCGGAAAGAATTAGCAACGGATCAACCAAAAACCTGTTGGTCAATTGACACGCAGGATAAATGTAGATGGATCAGATATTCGCTGAGGAAACCGATGAGTGACATCCCACGCCCGATTAGGAGAGGACGAGTTAGGTGTGTGTCCGAAGATGACGTGGAGAAGATAATGCAAAAAGCAAGCCAAAGTTATTGAGCAACTGTGGAGCCCAATAAAAATGAGAATAGAGTGAAATCGAAAATGTCCAGATGAAGTCTTATGTTCCACTCGATGCACACGGGAGTAATGATGATAAGACAGTATGACTATAAATATGACCTCAGTACAATGTTAATGCGATAATTTCTTCATAGAGGTGCGCCATAACGAAAGATACTTTCCTTTTGATTCTAATTAGAGTTTAATTTTCTCCTAAATACTTGACAATTCGAAACTAAAATAGTAACCTGCATATTATGCATACTGTCGATATCTCTGTTAATTATAATTCAGTTCATTGAAGCATACAGTTCAATCAAATAACAAATAAAATATGCCTAACGTAATGATGAAAATACATTGAAAATGATGGAGACGAAATGATACGGACTACTATAATTAGTAAATATAATGTCTCGCAATTCGGAGGAATGACACATTGCCTAAATAAGAAATAAAAACCAGATTTTACTTTAAACATGTCAGCTGATCACGGAATAATCGCTTACGCAGCTGATAATTCTGAGACAATCGAAATGAAAGCAGTGTAACTTTGCATTTTTAGTACTAAACTTTGATTTGGATGTGTTCTTTGATTTTATATAAAAAAACCTGCGCCGATGATGTTGTCTACAAGGTGGACAATGAAAGCTTCACAATAAAATCAACCAGCTCAGAGAACCCGACTTAATCAAAATCACACTCCACCTGAGCTATACATTATTTCTCCATTATTTCAATACTACACTTTAGAATGAAAGCGAGACTTTGTGCTCGCCGACCGTTATTATCGAGAGGATTTCAGTAATTCTGACCAAAAAATATCTATTCCACTAGAAACTCAAGTCCTCGTTATTTGACTAATGCGGATCTTCGAAGGTTTATATCATTAAAAAGAAGGAAAAAAACAACTAACATCATCATTCTGTAAGACTAGATTATGCACCCTGTATTCACCCGTTTCCAGCACCAAACCATTATCATTTAGGTTATAAGAACCCCCCTCCTTGTGTAACGCATATCGGCTATTTACTTGCTTTTAGGTAAACGTTTGTAATTCCTGATGGAGGGTTACATTGACTTGCGATGCTCGATCTCCGTTAACACATCGACTGGCAGTACGGATGCTTTGACGATGTCCCACTGAAATACAATAAGTGGCTCTCGTGGCCTAATAGATAATGCTTTGTCGTTTGAAACGCGAGAGGTGCAGGCCACAGGATACAGTGGTTAACACTGTCATTCACTGGGTGAATGCAGATAAATCCAGATGATGAGCCCCAAATAGGGCGAAATATACATAGTGGATTTCACTAAACTACTAAACCATTAAATAACATCACCTAAATCCTTAGACATCCCCCAAGCGTCCGTACTAGAGGCCGACATACCAAGAAAAACCGAATATTTCGGTCCAATATAATGCAAAATTAACCTTATATTACAAATGGTAAATTATCAATGCTTGGTTATAACTGCAATAGAATTACGTTGGGAAGTTTACAAATGTTTATGTCGAAAATTAGTGAATGTAAATATATATACCTTTGTATGATGGAATAGGAGTTGAACAAGTTATAAAACCTTAGGATGAAAACGTATTCACGGTTGAATAAAAAAGTTTAGAATGTGTTTTATTTTAAAATACTTATTTTAGACAAACTAATAAACAGATAGATAAGTAGAAAAAGCAGAGCGGTGCACATACTACACGTAAGCGACTAGATTTCTGATACGTCTTCCTTCAAACTTGTCCATATTCATCATTTAAGAAAGAAGGTGGGTGGGTGCCTAGTCATTACGTTCCCAGTGGAACACATAGGGCTTCGAGATTAAGCTTTGAAGTTTTAGCAGCAATGGTGTAATTCTTCCTTTATGGGGGTTGAGTTGCTAGTCTGATGCCCAACCTTTCATCTTCACCGAGGTGGCTACCGGCTAATCGAAGTTTAGGAATGCGTCGGCTGGGGTTCGAATCCCGAACCACACACACCTATGGTTGGTAGGCATTCTACCACTGAACCACTGACGCACATCTCAATCAGTTTAGATGAATAAAATCATATATCCTAAGTTATCATCCTTACTTTAAAATTATATCTCTAACTTCAGGACTTTTCGTATCATGCAGTCCCACCAAACATGAAAGATTGTGGGGAGATATCATCTATGGAGAAAGCCCAAATATATTGTGCTTTGTCGAACCATCAACGTTCACATTATAAATACTTTAATGCGTAGGTTATTATATAATACAGTTTAACTCACTTAGCTTCTAATAAAAGTGCAATAATTCCAGCTGCCATTGGTGCACTTGCTGATGTTCCGGAATGCATACGAGTACAATCATGACCCAAATCAATAGTGGACTAAAAGATACGAAGTATAGAAGAGAGAAAAAAAATGGTTTATATGACATATGAGTTTGGCATGTTTGGCATTAAAAAAGTTCGCACAATTCAGATTGCTGATGTTCTGATATTACTGTTACTGTAAAAAAAATGATACAATTTTTCAGTAGAACTTTTAATATTATCCATTATATTACATTTAGACACTAGCTGAATTGAGGATGAAATGAATTCCTGTTATATTCCATTTGAAATTTATAGAAGATTATAGAGACTAGTACATACATGATTACTGTTTAACATTATGACACCTACAATGTAAACCTAAGTTGTATTGAATGAGAAATTAACACAGATATATATCCTTGCATGCGTCGGTGGTATAGCGGTTAGGACGCTCGCCGACCATGCACATGGTCCGGGGTTCGCTTCCCGGCCGAATCACTCCTTTACCTCGTTAAGTCAGAAATAAAGCTGGTAAAGAGGAAAGGTTGGGCATGAGGCTAGCAACCCCATCCTGTAAAAATTAAACACTGCTACAGAAACTTCAAGCCACTAGCTTGAAGCCCTATGTTCCACTGGGAACGTAATGGAAAAAATATATATATCCTTGTAAAAGATGAAGATTCATATGACAACAAAAAGCGAATCGCTTCACGATACTTGAATGAATCCTGAGTAGACATAGGGCTTGAATGTCATCGTCTTAATATTGTACACTAAATATAAGTAGAATATTTCGAAATGTTAGTTTGTAGAGGTTTCAAATACTCACTGATGACATTGGTTGACGATTGCCCTGTATCTTGCGACGAATTGTCAGAAGATAGACATCATGAGCCGTTTGTTTCCTTCCCAGTGACTGTATGGTCAACGGTTTGACCTTGTGATCTGAAGGTCTTGAGTCCAATCCCTAGTGGGATCATAAGTATGTACAGATGAAGAGTCCAAAATAAGGATGAAATAGCTTTCCAGTACTCTTCAGTGGTTTTTTAATGGTGTTCTAACTGAAATCATCTTCTGATTGGAAAACCAACGAGCTATAGTCAGATGGCTGTTTAATGATATTTCAACAGTATGTACTGATTACCGCACTCGAAGTCTCTCAGTCAACAAGTTATCATTCAATATCAGAACTAGAAACCCATATCTCATTATTAATAACTTATATCGCAATCTAATGTCATGGATGAACAACCTTCCGGATGGTCGAAATGATTTCTTTTACTGTCATAAGGATATCTATCAAACAGTGATTAGAACTGTCATTCAACAGATGTGCGACAATGCTGCGTGCCAAGTAGTCCACAACGGGAAACTCACTGAATCCTTAGAAATGAAGACGGGAGTAAGACAAGCTGGCTGCCTACTATCTCCAATGATTTTCCTAATTGCGGGAGAATGGGTAATGCAACAGACAGACAACGGGCAACGAGGAGACAGGTATAAAATCGACCTACACAAAAAAACCTGAAGGATCGGGATTTCGCCGATGATATATGTCCGATTTCCCACAAACTGGAAGATATGCAAGTGAAAAGCAACAAGTTAGCAGAAGGAGCATCCAGAGAAGATAGGACTTCCTTCAGGTGAACATAGAAAAAACAGAGCTGATAAAGATTCCTGGCCAATAGCCACAGCAACAGACAACAATCAGCATAAGTGGGAGAAATCTGAAAGAAGCAATCGCCTTTACCTGCCTACATGGGAAGCATCGTTTCAACTACAGGCAGACGGAACTCATGAGGATATCAAACCGAATATCGAGGAAGCAAAGTAAGCTTTCATTACTCTCAAGTCTGTGTGGAGATCAACAATCAGCACTCTGCATGAAAAATAACATCCGGAATTTCAACTCCAATTTTAAGTCCATGCTACTATACAGATCAGGGACTCGGAGCAACATGAAGAGCATCTCAAACAAACTACAGACCTTCATCAACAGCTGTCTTCGCTCAATACAACTCAAGGTCAGATGGCCGGCCAGAAAAGATCAGCAACAGGGACGGATCTTCGCTAGTGAACCAACCCAGCAGGAAACGATTGTGCAACAAATATGCAGGAAGAAATGAAGGTGGATCGGATGACGAGTCCCAAATAGGACGAAATGTGCATCCTGGATTCCACTACTGGTCACCACCACCAACCAATTACCATACCAGTTATTTAATATTGAGGTTATAAGACGAAAACTTTGGTAGTCACATAATGAATTCATTCTGGTGTCAAACGTATACACAGTTTTTTCTGCAAAAAAGCACCCTGTTATTTGGAGGATTTCTTAGTGAACTGACATCAGTTAGAGAACCATTGGAAAACCATTAGGGAGTACTCAACAGCTGTTCCGTCCTAGTTTGGGACTCAACCAATACTTGAAAAATGATCTGATGCCAACTAGCGACTGGCCTTATTCAGGCGGTTACCTGGGGTTCTAGTAGGAAGCTGTGACCAGTAGGGTACAGCAGGTTGAAAGTGAGGACAGTTACTGATCGAAGAAGACATTGTTAAGTGGTCGCGCTATGTCGTGAATAGGCAGAAGTTAGAATTCATGGACTGGTCATTGGACAGGGTCCCAGTGGCTTAATGGTCTACGAGCTCGCTGGCCTTGTAACCAGAAGGTCCTGTGTTTGAACCATATTATTTATTAAGTGTTTTCCCAACTTCTGTCAAGTTCATCTACGACTGTGATGAACACAGATAAACAAGATTAAATTACCAATTTTTTTTACATGATTAAAGTTGGAGTGTGTTTTGTTATTTATTTATTTATTTTCTTATTCTAGAGAGTATACGATCAAAGGATACCTACCCACCAACCTACCTACCCATAGACAGTAGAAAGTAGGTCTAATATCCGTGTTTACACACACACAACGATAGTTTGTAATTTAAACACTTGCAAGCAGGGTAAATGTCGAGTATCAGAGAATAATAATATAATATTTAACACAATAGATAGGAGGCAGTACACAAAATAATGAACAAAATTACTAATTCAACATCAACCTTAAAACACAAGCCTTATAACACAAGCCACATCTTTATATACAACATATGTGACAAGAAAAACAAGTTCAGAAACACAACAACGAATACAGAACAAATAAGGTTATTATCAGTCGTTCTGTTGGCTACACTACACTATCTCCATTGTATAATATATGTCACACAGTCTCTCTTAGTGTGTGTGTGTGCATGTGCGTATATTTGTGTACACACACACATACACATGAGTATGATGCACTATGTGCGCATGTTTCAATGACCTAAAACGACAGATAATTGATGAAATTATATACAGTACACAACTTCTACATTATTTTTGTGTAAACAATCTATAAAAATAATTGTAAGGAGATAAAGTAGTCAGGTCATGCTGTATATATATATAATAAATATAATGTTACAATTTTTGACAGGGATCTTCGTCGTAAACTATGTGTTCACGTTCGTGTGCATCCCTTTGTGCGTGTGTGTGTGTGGGTGGATGGGTGTGAGTGTATGTGAATGTATGTGAACGAATTACATAAAGAGGAATGTAATTCCATTTAGATACATCTAAGATACAAATTAGTTCATAAATCAAACTTTTCGTTAAGATATCGTCGCTCCTTATTATTATTATTACTATTATTATTATTATTATTATTATTATTATTATTATTATTATTATTATTAACACAGATCAAGAAGTTTGGTTTGCAGAGATCTGACTGTTTTCAAAAAATGATTACGAACTGACCATGAGAGGCTATTGGACAGATATTTCGTCTTTCTTCGGGGCTCCTCATCAGTATACACACACCTATGACTCCATTAAGGATCGTATACCATTTAACCACTGGAAAGGTTTCCAATAGAGTTCTCTAAATGAAATCAGTTTGTGTGATCAATCGCGCGAAAACAATCAAATCCCTGAAGTCATAAAACTTGAAAGTTAATTTAGTGCCCACTAATGATTGACCATAGGATGAAGTTGGCTGAAGTTCCAGTGGGAAATTGTGACTAGTGTCACCGATGACAATGACCAGCGGTGGCGCTAAATATCGCCAAGCGTCAGAATTTAAAATCAGTAGGCCACTGGATTCCTTCCCAATGGTTGAATGGTATAGGCCCCCTCATCTTGTAACCTGAATATCCCTGGGTTAGATGCCTGGTGTAGTCATCGGTGTGTACCGCTTAAGAATGTCGAAAGAGGGGTAAAACAGCTAGCTGTCCAATACTGCCTGATATTTTTAATAATTTCTTAACCGAAGTCAGTAAGTGGTCAATCTTGATGTGCTGGCTTTCTCTGAGATGAGTTGTTTAGTAACAAAGCTTTCATTCTCCTTCTGGATAACATCTTCAGCAGCAAACTTCAGTATGAAGTGAACTGCACGTTAAAAAAACCACCCAGCTCAGAGAAAGCAACCATGTCAAAAAGTATATATACTCTGTACATAACTCATAGAACATCAACGCATTTTTTTATTTCTGAAATTCAGAAAATCGAAAACCTTAATAATTAATTACATTGATGTAAACTCTCAGTTGTCTGAAATAGCCACGTTACTTTCTATAATTACAGATAGTGTTGTGCAATAATCCGTGGAAAATAAGCTGTCAAACACAGATGTGAATATTACTTATTTATATCTAGGGGAGAATAAGTCAACGTGAACATGCCTAGTATTAGAATTAACACGACATTAAGAAAATTGAATGTATAGCAACATTAATGAATAAAAAAAGAATAGAATAATTATCGTAAAACGGGCGGCTGATTGCATGAATAGATACTTAGAGTGATAAGTGATGTATTTGTTTGCTTCTAAGTAGGTTGACATAGATACACCGTCAGTCGAATGAACGGATAGTAGTATACACTTGGTGTACTGTTCGCTTCAATAGATGAGTAATAAAAACGACTTGCAAACAAACTAAGTCGGGATGCATTGAACAAAATATCTTAGAATGAAATCTATTTTTTTAATTGTAGCTTGACCCACCACACAGTATTTTTGATACAAGTATGGAAT